TCTTTTTCAAAGTCTCTGCTTTTAGTCCTTGTGCCTCCCTTTCACATAAATCTTCCCAAAGCACTCAAGAGCAAATCTCCTTTGCCTACATTTGTTTTCTTGAGGGGGGAGTGACGGATTCCTGTTGCGATGCTGAGCGAGTAAAGTGCTTGCAGGAGATTTGCTTTCTGCTGTGAGCGGTTGTGCATAACTGCAAGGAGTTCACGGGCATTGCTCAAGCCCTTGGGTGGGACACATGGTCCTTAAAAACTTAACTTGTGCTTGGAGGAGAGGCTCTGAACCAGATTCAAAGACCACAGTCTGGAAAGGGGCTTAGATTCCTTAGCAGGAGTGTCATGCCCTGTCCATGGGGTGGGGTGGGTGGGAGCTGAGGGGGTGATTGGGTGTGTGTCTGGGCAGGGAGGAGTGTCAGCCCTAGTGAAAAGGGGAGCAAGGAGCGTGGAAGTGATGGGGGATTGAGACTGAGGTGACCGCAGGGCAGCGTGTGGCCAGGCAAGGCAAGGAGGGAGCTCTATGGAAAGAGCCTGTTGACACCTGCACTCCAGCTCTGGCTGCTTCTCAGTCTGTGGCCAGCTGCGTCTCAGGTGTGTGGCACCAAGGAGACCCTTTTCTCCAAGCCCACGTGAGCCCGGTGGGAGTCCTGACTCCAGGAAGGTCTGATGAAAGGCTGGTCTCACCTGTTGCCGCTTTACCTCGTGTTAACCATGAATCCAAGGAGTTTCTACCTCTCCAAACTGTCATGGGCCCATCACAAGGAGAGGGCTTTTCTTGCCAGCCTGGTGTTGAAGCAGCACTGGTAGGAATAGGAAGGCCAGCTTACTCCAGCGTCCCTTCCTCCTCTCTCTCCTGTGGCTGTTGGTGCTGCAGCTGTACTATGTTGAAACTAACTGTACTGGTCCTTCTGGCATTTTAGCAGGGACTTTTTCTGGGATGTGTGATAGTGTTTAGTCATTAAAATCAAACAAACCCAAGCCTAAGCGTTTGAACTTGGCTCTATTGCATGGCAGCAACACATCCATTTTTTGAGGAAAACTGTTTGCCTGCGGTTGCCTAAAGCTTTGCAATTTTCCAGAATAATGATGTATGGGCTAAATGTAAGTGTTCTTTTCTCCTATTTCACTTAATTTTTGCTTTACACTGTGTAAAACTATATATGACTATGGTAACATTAGCCAGGTTGTGGAAGTGTATGTCTATGCAGGCTTCCATTTACTACATGACAAGTTTTGCTCTGAAATATCAAAGAGCTGCTGTTCTGGTCATTCCCCATTACATTATAAGATTTATGTCCAGCAGTAACTTCCACCCTTTCCCCTGACCTACGCCAGTTAGCCCATCTGCATGATACATCAGCTCAGATATCACTGTAATGCTTTGGTATGTTGACCAAATAAGCTGACCTCATGTGTTTCTGTTGGTTTTGTTCTTTGCCTTAGCTTGGCTTTGGATCTTTCCTAGGGATTGTTGGCATCCACCTGGTAGAGAACAGAAGACAAATGGTAAGCAACAGCCCTTTTCGTTTTCATTTTTTCGTATCGGAATGTCTTAAAAACACAAAAAGCAGGGATTTCCAGTTGACTTAAAACTACTGCGTCTGCCTCAAGATGTTAGTCATTTGTTTCACCATTTCTGAGAAGTTTCAGAGAAGCATGAATTGGCCAGTGACTGCATCTGTACGGGGCAGGGGATGGTTTCACTTCCGACAGAAGCAGCCTGCTTTTTTTTACTGAATTACTTTCCTGCTGGTTTAGTGAGTTGAATCGACCCAGTGCGGGGTCAAGTGAGTGCCAGAGCTTGGCCAGGACCATGTAGCTGGGAAAAGGATGGGGAGAGAGACAAAATGCACGGGTTGTGCCAGTTTGGGCAGCAACAAGCCACACGATCAGCTCAACCGTAACAGGTGATCTCATCCTGCACAAGAAATTTAAGTCAGGAACACTTTTCCTGAAACCATATGTTTTTAAAAGAAGAAAAACCTCAGAGCTCTTGCTATCAAGATTCCCTGGCTAGGTCAGACAGGATCTGATGACACCGTGTTGTTTGTTTTTTAGATTTAGATTGGCTTTACAACCCCCTTGCTTTTATTTATGTGAAGAAGTCACAAAAAGTCCTTAGGGCATCTGGGTAAAGGAAAGTGTGTAGGACTGGATTTGTGGAAAGCCTTATACTTTCCTTGCTCTCGGAAAAAAATAGCCATGTCTTGGTTGAATAACAGCATGTCCAATGTGCACTTTACAGTAGACTGATTATAGCCAAGCATCATGAAATATGATTAATTTCATAATGCAGAGCCTTCACTGGTATAAATCAAGAGTGGTGTTAAGTTCAGAGGAGGGTTTACTTTGCTTTTTACTAACAAGTAACCATTTTACTTACAAGTAGTCTGTGATTTCCTGTTTTCTTCTTCGTAAACGTGGTCTTGTTGTCACCATTTGTAGGCAAACTTCTTTCACAATATCACTTTTTTTGCATTGCCTTTAAGTTTCAGTGATGTATTTGGAAGTATTCCACTGCTTTTAACTTTTGTTTCTAGCTGGGTTTCCCAAAGGAATGAGATTTATAAAGCCATGATATTTGTCTGTGTCTTTCTCTGTTCCCCATTCCATTTTTGAACACGTTGACCAATTTCAGGCGAATTCAGCAGGGAGGTAGAGACTTCAAAGGTGTGCAATTCCTTCAAGTTTTATGAAAATTCCCAGGTGGATAGAGGAGAGAATTATTAATTAGTTCCCCCATGGTGGTAAAGGCTGCAATGTCAGCTCACCTCTTATTAAACACTAGAGAATCCAAATGGGACATGACCTGTGAGACACAAATCTGCAGCAGGCCAGGCCTCATTAATTTTGCTACTAACAAAACAGCTTATTTGTTTTTAAGAACTATTGCCCCTGATTTCTACATCAGAGATGAGGATGAACAGCAGGTTCCAAGTTGCAGACTCAGTGGTGGGCAGATGAAAATAGCTTTGTCTTCCACAGCATTCATGCTACTTTACTAACAGGCATAACATTTTAGGGGTGTTATCTTTCAGTTTTCCTGTAATCTGCCTCTTAGTTTTCTATTGCTTCTGTCCTTAGCAGAAAGTAAAATGGCTGAAAAACATGTAAGGTGGGTAAGCAGCAATTAAACCATGTAATACTCAACATGTTGTGTCATTTACACAAGGACTGTGGAGAAATAAGCATCCAGTATGTTTGGTATTAGTGCCTGTTTGCATTTGCCAGCATAGAACAAGGAAAACTGCTTTCTGCTAATAACAGTGATGGTCTGGCTGTTGAAAGATTGGGTTTCTGGGGAACAGACCAATAAAATAACTAGAAAGTTTAATTATGCTTCTTGTCTTGAGTACCATCCACATTGGGCTAAGCCTTTTAACACTGTCTTTGCTAAGGCCGAACTGCTTGTTTTCAAACATTACGGAAATGAGATTGAAAGGGTTTATGTCATACTACAACTGAGGGCAGTAATTATTCCCTGTGGTGTAACTGAGTATATTGGATTGAAAGGGTTTAAAGCAGCTTTAACAAATTTGCCGCCATCAATAAGATTGTAAAGGCTTATATAAGCACAGATATGTAACAGAAATGTCATACTCCTGTAACAAAAATTCTATGCATTGCAGCAGGACAAAAGGGGGTGGGAAGGAAAAGAAATTGTTTACTCAGTTGCATCAGTTTTAACTGGACTTCCTTTGAGCAGTTACTGCAGTACAATCTGAGTTCAAGCCAGTGTAGCTCTGACAATCGTCTGGCCATTGTAATGACTCAATACTTCATTTTTGTTTTTTTAAATTGAAAGTGAATGTAGATTCAATTACACTAGAAAAAAAAATCTATTTTAAATTGACCTTTTCTCCGTAAATCTATTTCTCTTTTTGTCCTGAAGTTCTATTTCCTTGTGACCTATCCTCTGTAAGTCCAGATTTATTCACGGATGATGAAATGCTAAGTGCAGTATGAAATATGTAATGGTTAGCAGAACTAGTCCTGCAAATATCCAGCACTCAATAAACGCGAGCACGGGGTTTGAGAAGGAACGAAAGCACAGTTTGGCAGATTGGACAATGGTTTGTTCTTAAAACACAACGTTAATAATGTTGCACCTCTTTGACCTCGTTCTTGGCATCCCAGGGCCCACAGTGGGAGTTCAATGTGCTGACCAAGGTATAACCCTTAATTCAAAGGAACTGCTGCTTGCAGAAGCAGGCTCTGCCTCATTGACTAGCATGATTTCACTTCAGGTCTTAGCATTTGTGCTTGGCTCTGCTATCCAGAACTTGGCACCAGTGGCACAAAATTTCCCTTTGACTAAAGATTTGCACTGATTTGGGATGTTTCTAACTGGCAAACAGCAGAAATGGAAGAATAATGTGTTGCTGTCCCTTTTTGCCTCTCTTGCCCCCTGCAAAGGTCATGGATCGAAGGACAGAGTATAGCTGTAAGTTGTTTTGTTCCAAAAGCACACTGAGTCCAGCCGGATGGGTGGAAAATATGATACTGCTCAAATCAAATGGATTTGATTGTAAGATGTGAAGTGTCCTTGCTTGTTTGCTTGCTTGCCATCTCCTCACATTACAGTACAAAGTATTTCCAATTAGAAAACGAGATGCTGAGATTGCATGCAGAGGTGGGGAAGGCTGGATGCGCGGGGGGTTCATGGCAGCAGAGCTGTGCTGAGAGCAGTAAGTAGTGCTGAGGGAGTGCTGTGAAAGGTTTCTCCTCGGATAAATGTGGAGATGGCGTGAGGTAGCACCCAGAAATGAAGCACTCTCTAAATGTGCAATGTCGATAAGACACCCTGCATGTTGTTTTAGCTAACCCGATGGATAAACCAAGCACTGGCTCACAGTTTCCACTCACATGTCTTCCCAATGCCAGTCTCATCAAGCCGTACTGTTCACAAGGCTGAAAATGAGCATGCTGAAACTGTGGTGCCTGCAAGAGCGATGGGAGATGCAAGGGCACCATAATAACTGCCAGAGTTTTGAACACTTGCAATATCACAGAGCTGCCTGCAAGAGCTCTCGGTTAGGGTCGTGGGAGTCACCTCGGCAGCAGCGCAGCTACCGAAGAGAGCCGCAAAGGCAGGAAGGGGGTGGGAGGGGGTACAGGAGCGTAAAGGACACAGAGAGGACGGGGAGGGGTCAGAGAAGCAGGACTGATCCCTCAGGAGGTGTGAGTTAGTGCAAACCTTGGTACTACTTACGATGAAGACAGTTGTCTGCAGCAGGTTTGAGACCTGAATTAATCCATTGCTGTCTTGCTTGTTTTTTCTTCATGCTAACACACAGTTAATTTTCTTGCTGACATGTTTAGGACATACTCAGATATAAATCTAATGCTCAGCTGGCTCAACCTGGTCCTTGACTTGTTCAGAGAGATGGTTGTAGTGATTTTAGCTGAGGAGACATTGCTTCTGACAAAAGTAGAATTTGAAAACATGAGGGAGGTTAAAACATGGAGCTCTGCACACAAACAGAAAAGGCAAAGCTATTTCTTCAGACTTCTCAAGGGATGCTAAGTTTAGGTGCCTTAATATGCTTGCTTCCCGATCTCTGTCAACAATAATTAGATTTCAAATTAAGTGCTGAAAAGCAACTATAGCACAAGTTGGAGAAACAAAGCAATAATTTTCTCTTCTGTTTTTAGTTGATAGACTTCCCTGACAGCGTATGCGTTCCTACCCTGTGTTGAGATGTATGTGAGCTAGTATTTCAATATTATCTCTGATTATTTTCTTGCCACTAGAATTTACATCTGTTTCAGAAGAAAAGCTTTTTTAAAGGAGTTACATGTGTAAGCCATTTTTCAGAATTATAAGAGCCAAACCTCTTCTGCTTTTCAAACCTGATACATCTTGTAAATCAATTATGTCTATCAGCAAATGCCCACTGGACATTTTGTGTACAGGTGGTGGTTATTAATACGTACACCAAAAAAAGATACTGATATGGATACCTACTCTGCTCTGTTCAAACATATTGTGCTTCATCTACTTTTTCATGCAAATCAAACATCCTGGAAGAAACTGGCTTTAGTGCAGATTTTGATCAAAGATGCTAATTGCTGATAGATTCCATATCACATATTAAGCTAATTAAAGCAGCTTGTTTGCATAAAGAGAAAAACCATTACAATTCTGTAGATCTCCTGAGACTATCTTTGATGTTCCTGCACAAATAAATGGAAGATGTTTTTATTGTAGTGCAGGGGACATGCAGATAATGTGAAGGCAATCGTTGTCATTACCAAGGTATTATCTCTCTGTTGAACTCAAGCTTCAGAGAAAGTAAACAGCACTTCTTTTTTTCAGTGATTATTTTTTGTGTGCTCATATTTCACATAGTTCATGAAAAAACAATTAATGTTGGTGTAAAAATGATAATAATGGAACAAATTAGCAATCATCCTTGTCTTGTTTAGCACCTTTAAAATGATTAAAACTGAAAAGACCTATTACTGTCTTTTCAGTCATAAATGTGTGCTAGATTTTGTGGTGT